CGGCTTAGCCGATCCAGATGTTGGATCGGCTGAGTCAAACTCCTTCTGCCCTTGGGGTCGGCCGAACATGCTGAGCATGTTCGGCCGACACGAAGCCACCCGAATCAGCCTGAAGTGAATAGCCGATCAGCTTTCGGCTCACTTCGCTTTAGGTCGGTCGTTCACTCGTCTGCCTACGGCAGCTTAGTGAATAGACCCCTATGTCTCTACGGGATACAAAAATAGCATACTACTAAATCCAACCACACCTGACCAGAGATAGCCAAAGTGAAAATTAAAGATGAAAGTGAAGAAAAAAATCTATATGTATTCTAAAGGTCTATTCACAAAAGGGTGAAGAGTTTGGAGAAGGCAGGAGAAGTGAACAATCTAGGACAACATAGCTGATTTGGAAAAATTATCCAGTTCAGCTTATTTTCCAGTTCAGCTATGTTGTCCTAGATTGTTCATTTCTCCTGCCTTCTTCTAAACTCTTCGACCTTGTGTGAATAACCTTGTAAATGTTTGCCTACTCAAATGTTAAAAAATTAACTATTTTCATGAGGCATACTAATACTTAATTTTTTACATAACTCTAGGATATGCAGTCAAAATGCTTCATATGTTTACTATCAGGGCTATTCAGAAAAGGGTGAAGAGTTTGGAGAAGGCAGGAGAAGTGAACAATCTAGGACAACATAGCTGAAATGGAAAGTGAGTTGAATTAGAGACTTTTTCCCTAATCAGCTATGTTGTCCTAGATTGTTCACTTCTCCTGTCTTCTCCAAACTCTTCACCCTTTTGTGAATAACCCTGTCAGTGTACTACTATTACTGTTTGGATCTAGCATTCAGAATGGTGTCTGCTTTGTATATCAGTATGGTACCTATCTACTTGTTTTGTACAGGTGAAACTCGAATAATTAGAATATCGTGCAAAAGTAATTGCAGTAATTGCTGCAAAAGGGGCCCAAACCAAGTACTGAGTACATATGCATGCTTATACTTTTCAGAGGTCCGATATCGTTCTATGTACAATCCTTGTTTTATTGATTGCATGTAATATTATACTTTTTTGAGATTGTGGATATGGGGTTCTTGGGGTTTTTATGAGCTTTAAGCCATAATCATCATCAATTATGACAAATCACGGCTTGAACTATCTTGCTTTGCATGTAATGAGTCTATCTCATATATTAGTTTCACCTTTTAAGTTGCATTAGTGAAATAAATGAACTTTGCACGATATTCTAATTATTCGAGTTTCACCTGTATATCAGCCACCAGACTGGGATCTGTATCTTACGTATGTTTACTGTTAATTTGTGTGTACAGCCAATCCATAGTACATACAGTGTATTCCTGAACATTTTGATGGAGTTTGTTCAAGCAATAGTTGTCCTGATCCTTGTTTACTGTCTGCAGCTCTTTTGTTACAATGGCAGGACAGCAATGTGTGGGCACAGAGCCTGTGCCGCACATGGACAAGGCGAAGCACATACACAAAGCATACTGCAAGTGGACATTAGCCTCTGTACTTCTTGGAGGCACAGCCATCAGTATCATCACAGGATTATTAATAAGTAAGTTATTACACGCTATACTTGGATACTGACAATATTCTCCAAATGCATATCATTATTTAAAATGTTAAATAAAAAATAACAGGCAATAATGTTTATCATTATGAATCAAACATCCAAAACAAAAAAAAATGAACTCTAGACAGCCAGGTCTCAAATTTGTTTAATTTCTTGGTTTTGTCAGTGTAAATCTTAAATGATGTAATGTTAGGTGTGCTGTGGTGCCATTATTTCTGAATGGCACCCCAATGTACCTAGCAATTGCACGTGCGTTCTATCGCACCACATTGCATAGTAACCTATTACCATGCGATGTGTGATGCAAAGTGATTTTTAAAAAATGTGCTTGCACTTCTTTGAGTGCAATTCAGCTGTGATAGGCAGCCTGTTCAAATGAATGGTCTGCCCTACTGCAGCGCAGCACAAAGCACCCTGTGATGTTGCATTGGATGCTTAAACAGTTGTCAGGGGGACGGGGCCTACTGGAAGGCTTTCTCTCACCTCCTGTTCCGATGACAATTGTACAATTTTGGGTTTCCCATTGTTGTCCGACCTGGTGACAATGGTTTCCAGGGCAAATAGAGAATGTCAACCTTCCCATCAGGGACCCTGAAAGCAATAAAAAAAAACTGAGACTGATTCTTACCTTTCCCTACAATTTTTTTAAGAATAAAAAAAAAAAATTGCGCTTTTGAGAACTACCTACTGGACTTTACAAGACTGTTGCAGTGTCAGTGTGCCTTGTGGACAATTATACTTCTCCTAAAATGATGTTCAGCCAGTAGGGCTTTGACATACAAGATACTCCCTGAAAAGGTTACCTAAATACCCTGGACACACCTTTTACTCCTTGGTTATTACTGATAATTATATTGCAATAAATGCAATACTATTATTGTTACAATGTGTTTAAAATAGTTATTTTATGTGCAGATCACAGAAGTATCCTTTTGTCTACATATAACTTCAGTTAACCCTTTGAGTCCCCCAGGCCTTATTCCCCCTAAAACCCCCATGAGTCAGAGAGAATTTGTTTTGGTTTTTTTCCGCACAGTATACCTAGGGACGCCAGGCCCTATTTTACTTAAAATATAGCGAAGCAAGGGGGTAAAGGTGCCACACTACAAGCCATATAATTTAAAGTCAGACACCTTATTGGTCCAGCACACTTTGGTTACAACTACACAAAAACTGCAGGTAGTTTCTTCTCTAACTCTTCAATTTGTCTCTCACTCTCTCCTAATTATTTTGAAATGTTGGAAACTATGTGGTATATGCCATGGTGATGGCGTTGTTCCTGTTAAGGCTGACTGGTGTCTGCCAATCGCAGCTTTCTAAAGCAGGTATGTCAAATGCAAGAGTAACAGCCAGGCCAGGGGAAAGTGTCACTCAATCTGAGGTTGTGTGCTGGGTGGAGTGGTGGGGCAGATTGGTTAAGGGCTCCAAATGTCTGGCCTCTGCAAGTTCGAGAGAGTAGAGGGGAATACACCCGTGTGGAGTGAAAGTTAGGTTTGCAGTACGGTGGTGACCACCTGCATGGTGGCAAGGCTCACCCCAGCCCTGGCAGAGCTCTGCATCCTGTTACCTTATCATAGAGAGTACATTTATCTGCCAGTGAGATGCACATCTCTGGGAATGTAGGACAACATCATGCAGGACTATTCGGAGCTCTGCACAGTGTGCTGGAAAATGCTTCTAAAAACTTGTTACTCACATTCAGCTGCATTTTTTTTGTAATGTGGAAAACGTTTCACCACTCATCAAGACACGTTCTCAACTCTGGACCAGGAGTGGAGTGTTTTGTGAAGCAGCCATGGTGTGTGTCAAGTGACTGATACTGCCTCACAGTTCAGAGCCAAGTAATTATTACAGCCTTCACAGTTCAGACGGGAGAGCCCTGTTAGGTAGACCATACGGGGCTCCATGATTTCTAATAGCGGCCCAGATGGCACCTTTCAGCGATTTTTGTATACCCCAATGTATTATGCAACGCTTTTTGGGGGAACAGATAGGGTTTTAATTTGGTTGCAAATTTGGATAAATATATTTTTTATAATCTTGATTTTTTTTTAAATAAATAGTAAAAAATTAGAAAAAAATCAATGTTTCTGTATTTTTTTTCCAGTGCAATGTTTACATAATTTGTGCACCCTAATATATTTACTGCAAAATATAATCAAGAAAATCTGGTAGGAAAAATTATGTTATATTAGTGTGACTGTTATGCAACATAGCCGATTGGCAAAGCTCAAAGTGAACATAAGCATTTTACCTGAGGAGAGCTTTATTCGCCTTTCGATGCTACATTGAGACCCACACATTCTTTCAGCACAACTGTGTGCTTCATATGTGAAAAGGCCCAGCTAGAGTCCTACCTGCTGGATAGATAGAAGGCTACATAATCTTCACACAAAATATTTAAGGGTCTATTCACAAAGCTGCCGTAGGCAGCCGAGTAAATAACCGACCCGAAGTGAAGTGAGCCGAACACCACTTCAGGCTTGTACGGCTGATTTCAGCCGTACACCGACTAAAATCAGCCGTACAACGGCTTGCTGCAGCTGGCTTCGGGTCGGCCAAACATGCTCAGCATGTTCAGCCGACCCGAAGTGCAGAAGGAGTTCGACTCAGCCGATCCAATATCTGGATCGGCTGAGCCGAACCTCCGGCAGGCTACTCACTGCTTTTCGGCCTATTCTCATAGAAGTGGCATTCGGCTCGGCTATTCTGTTCGGTACCTCTGTGGTACCGAGCAGAATAAAAAAGTAGAAAAAATAACATAGAAAACAATTGGGCTGAGCTAGCAGTGACAGCTAGCTCTGCCCAACTGTTTTCTATTGGCTGGGACCAGCTGTCATTACAATGAGAGCTTGTCAGAGCCGGCAGTGATATAAAAAAGCCGGCTCTGCTAAGCTCTCATCCTAATGATGGAGCATCGTCCCTTCTTACCTGGTAACCCGGGACGCTGTTCAGTCATTTCACTGAGAGCACGGCGGTTTTGCTGTCAGAATTAAAAAAAAAAAAAAACAGCATAGGAATGCATAGCTTGATTCCTATTGGCTATTTCAATTTGCAATATCCAATAGCAAACTGGCTATTGTGCCCGCCATCTGCTGCTGTCAATCACTAGAAGGGGACCTGATGGAGAACTTCAGGTCCCCTCTGCTGATTGACAGCAGCAGTGGGCGGGTGCAATAGCCAGTTTGCTATTGCCAATTGAAATAGCCAATAGGAATGTAGCTATGCATTCCTATGCTGTCTTTTTTTTTTTTTTTATTCTGACGGCAGCCGGCGGCTCTGATGTCAGGAGAAAACAAAAAGACAACAGAGCAGGGAAAGTTTTACTCTGCTCTATTGAGCAGAGTAAAACTTTCCGATAGTATATAATAGCGGGAGACTCACGGAGCGTCCGGGAGAGTTGGGCTTTCTGGAGATCAGCATCCCTGGTTACTGATCTGTCTGTGTAAGTGGCCAGAGCCAGCCGTAAGATAAGGGATGGCTCCGCCCAGCTGTCAGTAGCAGGCTGTCGACCGGCCAATGGCCGGCCGTTCGGCCAGCTTCGACTTTCACCTGGGCTCAGTTGAGCCGAAGCATATGCCTTTGGCTCGACTGAGCCCCTCGGCCAACTTCAGAAGCTGTAGAGGCTATAGTGAATAGCCCGTACAGCAGCCCTTCGGTTCTACTGAACCGAAGGGGTCCTGGGGCCGAATCTATAGACCCCTTAATATTTTGTATTCTTGTATCGCACCAAATGGTGGCATGTTAGGCTTCTTTTTCATATATTTTCCAATTTCTCCTTACTGCCTGTAAAAACTACAGAATGCTGAAAGGATAAAAATAAATTGTTATACATTGACAGCCTTCATGGAAGGTCCTCTTTATTGGAAAATATCCCAATGTAGAATAGATGTATACTAGGGGAGAAATGCAACATTCTGTTTTTAACTTATCAACTGACTTATTTTCTATCTTTTCTATCTAGTGTATTTATCAACACAAAGCCTCACTTTGGTACATACTTTGGAATTACAAGGTCTTCAATATGATTCCAGTTTACAAAACAGAACCTCTTTGTACTACAGAGCAATAAGTGCTACTTTACAGAGACTGGTAGGTAATACCTTTGATACAATACTGTCTTCATTTGTTTACTGGGTTATTTCTAGTTTTGATTGAGTAGTTGGAGTGAGGAGCATTGGAACTTTTGCTATTGATATGTTCCTATCAACATAAGATTAAAGTGTATGTCAGGGAAACATAAAGATATATGCAGTACTTCTCTGCAATAGATGCATATTTGCCCATATTGTATCCCTTTAAAGACCCTGAAGTACAGAAAACTACCTGTGGATGTACCGAAAAATGTACTCAGCATTGTCAGCCCTGTCCAATTGTCTTTTCCTGAGCTACTCAAACCCCCTATCATATTCTCCACAACATGGACACTATTTATTCTGTAGTCCAAAGATTTAAAAAAAAGCTAGGAAGGCTAATTAGACTTGTTGAGATTGCACTCATCGAACATATATAACAAACCACTTTCAGTGGTATACTTAACCTCCCTGGCCTTTTCTCTGCAGACCCGAGTCTGGCTCGGGGTTACCGCTCCTAGCATGGAAAATTCACCCCGAGCCAGACTCGGGAATACCGCCAGGGAGGTTAACAGACCAAAAAGTAGAAAACAAGAGAAGTTTAGTGTTACGATTTACATAAACCTTAAATAATGGGAATATTTCCACAGGCTTCTCTCTGACATACAGGAGGCATAGGTAAGTTAGTGTTAGAGGAGTGGAGAAATACAGGGTTATTCACTAAGCTGCCGAGTGAGTAACCGAGCCAAAGTGAAGTGAGCTGAACACTTTTGGCTTGTACAGCTGATTTCAGCCGTACATCGGCTGACATCAGCTGTACATCTGGCTGAGCCGACGTGCAGAAGGACTTCGACTCAGCCGATTCTGGATCTGGATCAGCTGGATCAGCTGAGTCGAAGCTCCGGTAGCTCACTCGCTGCCGTTTGCCCCTATTTACATGACATTGCGGCCGGCTCCGCCCAGTTCTTATTGTTAAATGACAAATCAGCATCCCCTGGTCACGCGGGGACGCTGATCTGTCATTACAACTGGCCCACTTCGGCTGTCACTTCGGCTCAGTCAAGCCGAAGCATATGCCTTCGGCTCAGAGGAGCTGCTTGGCACATACAGCTACAGCACGTACAGCAGCCCTTCGGTTCGACTGAACCAAAGGGCTCCAGTGGCCGAAGGATCAGCCAAAGCTACGGCTGGATCCTTCAGTTCTTTCGGGAATAACCCCCATAATTTTATGTCCAGATCAGTTTTTTTGAAGTTACAAACAATAAAAATGCAGTGCATTTTGGGGTGTTCCAAGAGCTCTCTTTCTCAGGGCTTAGGATTGCAAACCGTTATAATATGCATAAATATTCAATATAATTCTCAGAGAAGAAATTTTTACTAATGTTGCAGTGTTTTAAGAAACACCAATTAGAAAAATCTGGACAGAAACTATTATTCTGGTGCTTTCTTCCTTTTATTCTTAATATCTGGTCTATTGTATGTACACTGGAATTATCAACTTGTGTCAGTGTTTCTATTAAAGTTTATTGATGGTAGTAGTAATAATTAGTATAGTTTCTTTTGTTGTAGTTGAAATCCAGTTTCAAAGGTACTGTTATAGAAGATAGTTATACTGGATTTACTGCTTTACACTACAGGTAAGTGAAAATCTTTGCCATTAATAGCTGACATATGTTACCTTTGATGGGGTTTTCAGTACTGAAGAGTCCTGAAAGCAATATCCAGGCAAATGCATATCCCTAAAGCAACTGTACGCTGTGGCGGATCCAGGGGGGGCAACGGGGCATTTGCCCCCCCCCCCAGATAGAGACGCTCCCACCCGCGTTACCGTACCAGGAGTACATCCCCGCACAGGCCGGGACATACAGCTGTCAAGCTGTCACAGAGTTAACTGCGGTTCAGTGTAAAAAAACGGCACACTACATACTGATAACACTAAACTGATGAGCAGTAAAAGCGGTTTAATTGTCGCCTTTGGGCCTGTGGGCGTTTTTTGCGATTTTGCGGGCGCACACCATTTTAAGGCTTGACATGTTTGGTGTCTATTTACCCGACGTGATCCCGCCTTTTATGTTTTACCAAAGACATTGCCCCTGCATGTAAATGAATTAAAACTTACATTTACAAAGTTAAATTGTTTATAAAGTTTTGGGGGATATAAAAGCACCATTGACAGCCAAGGAAGGTGCCATCTTAGCCTCTATTTGTATGGTAGTTGGCATGGTGGTGTGCATGTGATCAGAAATGATACCAACCATTTGAAAGCTTGAAAGTGTGGCTGAAAGAAAAATATGCACACTGGCAACCTTGACAGTTGGCATACCTTCACAGTAACTGTTTTGGGAGACATTCAATTGGTGGGTCTGTTTTATAGAGATCTATTAAAGACACTTTAAACAGTTTATTAAACAAGGCAATGAAAACTACAACAATCCATGGCAAAAGATGAGATTTCATTTACAGTAATTAAGTGGGAAGCAAAAGGTGAAATCGGGTTGTCATGGATTACTGCACACAATGACTGCACATCGCACTGCCCTCTTAATAAGATGAAATCAAGATTATTGAGTAAGCAAGGAAAGTCTTTATTCTGCACTTTTGCGCAACAGTAACAGAGTAACTAAATAATAGACCAAATACCAAAATAAAAAAAAAATAAAAAACCCATTCCAAACTGTACAAGAAACTAAAATACATATTGTAACAAAGATAGGGATATCATTAGGGCTGCAACAACTAATCGACATATGATGCAATAATGATAATGTATGATGCAATAATACATCATACAGCGCAATGCGGAATACCACCAGCTATAGAGGACTACAAAACCCTAGCAATAGTACATTATACAGTGGTGCAATGGCGAATACCACTAGCTATAGAGGACTACAAAACCCAGCAATAGTACATTATACCGCACAATACAGAATACCACATGCTGTAGAGGACTACAAAACCCAGCAATAGTACATTTTACAGCGCAATGCAGAATACCGCCAGCTATAATGTATTGCTGGCATTTGTTGTATGCCTCTATAGCTGGTGGTATTCTGTATTGGGCTGTATAATGTACTATTGCTGGGATTTGTAGTCCTCTATAGCCGTTGCCATTCTGCATTCATTGCTATATAGTTTTACACTTTTCATTTCACTATATTGCACAACACACTTTTTTGTTTTCCTTATTTATTATCACCGCTCCAAGCTTGCTCCCGTGATGGACTACAATCTCAATACAAACTAGTAGCTCATCACTGAAGCCATTTTTTAAAATGTATTTTATTTTGTATCCGATTAATCGGCTAACTAATCGATTTTGAAAATAATCGTTAGCTGCAGCTCTAGATATCATAGCTGGCATCATTCTAAGATGGAGAGTCATCAGTGGGGAGTTACTGAAGGAGTACATTTTTCACATAGCCAAGTGAACTTGCGGTCACTTGGAGAACCCTATCATGTGAATCTTGATCTTTATCTAAACTTTTCTTGCCCTTGACTATACTGATTTTCCCAGATCTTTAGTGGAGTCAAAAACAAAGTTTAATATGTAACTCAAAAATTAGCATAAGTATTTTAACATTTATGTCCTCAGTAAGTTCAGCAATTGAAGAATGTAACTGTACACACTGCTGGCTGACCCTTCTTGTCCCTATCAGATCTGACCACACTAATCTGGCTTGTGCTGAAGAGGTTCCAAGTTACTTGTCTCCTTTCATCAAGTTTGGTGGTATTGTTCAATTTGAACTTTGGAAAAAAAATCCTCCTTTTCATTACAAATCTGATAGAAACATGCTTATTTAGTGCCAGTGACTTACTAAGTAGTGAAGGAAAGAAGAGAATAACTGCCCCAGAATATGCACCATCAAAAAGGCAACGGCAGCTCCAATATGCCTATGCTGACAGGTTCCTTGCAAGTGTTTCCCCTGCAATATTGTCAGAACTGTAGGGCTATATAACTCTGTAAGTTTGATTATTACATGTGTAGTTAAATTTGATATAAACATGCTGACTCAGGTTCAGTGACTTACTAAGTAGTGAAGGAAGGACAACAACAACAGCCCCAGAATATGCACCATCAAAAATGCAATGGAAGCTCCCATTTGTCTATTATGACAGGTTCCTTGCAAGTGTTTCTTCCACAATATTGAACTGTATGGATATGTAACTCTGTACATTCCAATAGGACGTGTTTAATAAATGAATAATAAATGCTTTTTAGCAGTTTTAGTTACTACATTTAAGAACCACAAAATTATTAATGAATGATAAAAATAATTAATTTCTATTTTGCATTATTTCTGTATTATTTTTAAAGAACACATTAAGGGGATTATTCACTATTGAGCCGAAGGTTACAGCCGTAGCTGCGGCTGATCCTTTGGCTCTCTTTGGCCGCCAGAGTCCTTCAGTTCAGTCGAACCGTAGAGCTGCTGTACGGGCTATTCACAATAGGCCATACAGCAGCCGTTGACGCGTTTCCGGGGTCACGCCCCTTCTTGTTCTGAAGAAGGGGCGTGACCCCGGAAACGCGTCAACGACGTCACTACTCAGTGGCACACAGACAGATTGCAGTCTTGCAACTGCTGTTTCTCTGAAATCATCCATATATGCTGCTGTTTGACCTACCATTGTAAGTACCCCTGTACTTTTGTTTATGGTGTCTATTTGAAATTAAAAGGATTATCTGCACCAGGTTGGGCGCCCTTTTCTCTCTTTTGTCACTGTTAGCTCCGCCCAATTCTTTTTTTAAATGTATTTTTTTTTATCTTCCTGTTTTTTTTACATTTCTAAAATAATTTTGCAATTTTTTAAAAATTTTTTGCTCTTCTTTTCTATTCTGCTCGGTACCACTGAGGTACCGAGCAGAATAGCCGAGCCGAATGCCTAGCAGCGGCATTCGATTATTCATTCACTGCCGTTCGGCCCCCGTGAGAACAGGGGTGAACGGCAGCGAGTGAGCTGCGGGAGCTTCGGCTCAGGCGATCCAGATGTTGGATCGGCTGAGTTGAAGTCCTTCTGCACTTCGGCTCAGCAGAGCATGTTCGGCTGACCGAAGGCAGCCGATGTACGGCTGAAATTAGACGTACTGAGCAGGAGTGAATAGCTCTGTTCACTTCGGCGTGGTTATTCACTCAGCTGCCATGCATTTGGCATGCTTAGAAAAGATAGAGTCTAGTGTCCACAGTGCTTAGCAGACCATTGCTGGGAAATCTTCCACAATCTTCACCACCAATCACTTGAGGGAGGTTGCCATCCACAAAGACAACTGAACCATGTAAAAGAATAAACAGAAGCACAGCGCCCAGTTAGGGTCACATGCTTGAATCATAGCATATACAGTATATTGTGTCTGGGGTTACCTGTTTGTTGGCTCTGATAAAGGGGTGAACTCCACCAAAATGCGGCAGCTCTTTTGGCTCTGCCCTACATGTCGGACCTACTATATTGCTTGTCTCCAACATGTACATGTGAGTAGCCTTTATACGTGTACACGATTTGCATTTAATAAACGTTATCACACAAGGAAAGGGCGCTGTCCTTCTGTTTATGCTTACAACAGAATAAAAACACAGGAGATGTTAAATTGACTTTAAAGGACAAGTTCACTGAAAAAAAACCCTGCCCGTTTCTAACCTGATCTAAGATAGATCACCAAAACCCCATCCCACTGGTGCTGGTGGTGGCCTCCTCTTCTGTTTACATCCTCGGCCTGAAATATTTTCTGGCACTGGCTGCACCTGCACAAAAAATTCACATAGACTTGAACCCAGATAGCAAGGATAACTTGCCACAAACTTGTGTCGGGGGTTAAATTGTAATTTTGTTAACTTGCTGCACATATTCCTGGCAAGTTGTAGACTTGCAGAACACTCGCAGCACAAGTTCTAGTTGACACTTTTTTGAATTTGTAGCAAATTTGCTTGGCAAGTCTACAGCAAGAGTCCTGCAGGTCTTAGCAACAGCTCTGCAAGCTCGCTGGTCTGGAGACTTGCAATGCAGACTTGCTGTAATTGTGCAACAAAATTGTGAAGCTTGGCAAGTCTACAAGAGTTTAGCAAGTCAATTTCAAACTTGCAGCACAATTTCTTGCTATCTGGGAATGGGGCCTTACTCCTAGCATCCCTTGTTTTGGAGCAAGTACCCATTAAAGTCTATAGGGATTAAAATACAAATACAGTAAGGACGGCATTGCTAAAGTCAACAGCTCCACTTCCCTGAACTTCCTGTCCGGTACAAAATCACAAAGGACAGAGCAGTCTCAAGCAGATCTCCATCAAGTAGCATGAGGAAGGGAAGAAGGGGATTGGGGAGAGGCTTGTCTTGGTGTGTCTGTGTATTTGTGGAAAATGCATAGCTTACTAGCACACACACAAGGGTGGCTCAATAGGAACCTGCAAGAGCAGGGTTTAGGGGACAAGCTGATTCTGCAGGAAGCTAAAACTTTTAAACAATACAGAACAGCATCCATGGTAATTGATATAACTTAAAACCCTTTGACTTTAATATGACTTTAAATAAGCCAATGATCATAAATATTTTTTTTAAAGCTTCTTTTTGTGAATTTTGTTTGATGGAAAACAGATAAACAGTTAAAAAAAAATAAAAAAAGCAGTTGTGACATCTGTACGAGGGTGAGTCAAAAATTGACCGCACTCTGGCTGTAGAATTTATTTGAATCAACTTTTAGAAAAGACAAATACATAATGCTTTGACATATTCTACTTGTTTTCCAATACACTTTGTCCATCTGTCAACAAGCTTTTGTATTCCCTCATTAAAAAAATGTTTTAGGCTGAGTTTCAAGCCACGAATGCACTGCTGTCTTCACTTCTTCATCAGAGGTGAATCTTCGTTCTCGTAAGGCTGCTTTCAGGGGACCAAGCAGGTGAAAGTACGATGACGCAAGATCAGGACTATAGGTGTATGTTGTCATCGGTCGTGGACGTGCGTCCATGTCCTTTTTGATGGCTAACACTTGTGCAACCTTCCTTGAACTTCTTTATCCATTCATACACACTTCTTCGCAACAAAACACTTTCTCCATAATGCGCACAAAGTCTTCAATAAATAACAGCACCAGGCACACTCTCAGACCACAAAAACGAATCACTGCACGCTGCTCTTCTTTCGTGCACATCACAAGCGGGGCATCCATTTTTCTCGCACTGCAGTTACAAATGAACTGACGTAACACGTTCACACCTACACAGCAGTGACAGTAGGCTTGAACAGAAAGCGCTGATAAGACAGTGCGGCCAGCAGAAGTTTTAATATAACCGGAGAGTGGATAAATATTGCCGAATGTGTGTCAATAAGCAGAATTTAAAGGAACTCATATGAAATCATAACAGCTGCTTCAGTGGTCATTCATGCATTGCCCCTAGATAGATGGAGCCAATTATGGACATTAATTAGTTGTGCAGCGAGGAAATAGTACCGTTAGTTGGGGAACTCCAGACCAGCCAGCTTAATGGGTAATTGAAGGGTTTTGGGGGGTGCTCTAGAGTCAACAATTTGGGCAAAAAGCACATTTAAAATAGATTTTCCCTGCCTATGAGGTCCAGTGGTAGATTCATCCACTGCTTAGTTTGTAAAGTATCGATTAGTGTTAAGAGGTTAAAGTGGAATATAACAGAAACAGAAATTTGGACAATAATAATTAATGATCATTATATTGTATGTATATGAACTCTGCATATCTGTATGCACTACCTGAATGCTGCAGATATTCCCTTGCTGAGCCTTTTGGAGAAGGAATCAGTCAGACAGTTGGTATTCATCCAGTTGGTATTGTTTTTCACTGAGCCACAGGTCTCTCCTAATTGCTCTTTTTCCCTTCACTATAGCATTAATTCTTACATGTTCTTTAAAGGCAAATGTGCGTGTTTATGGGAAAGAAAGTTTATAAAAAATGTCTTCCAGTGATTGAATGTGTGTCTGATGTCTGTGGGTAGCATTCATCTGCAGATGATCCGCACAGTCATTCTTGTCTGTGTGGTCATCATGAGAACACTAGCATTGACTTGGTTACCATCCATGGGTTTGGACTTGCATTCAAACATCAGGCTCTCTCTTCTTAGGCCCTACAAATGGGGCCAAAACACTAGGTAGACAAGGACAGGCCTTCCACGACTATCCAAGTCAACTTGGATGGATTCATAAGGTATATGGCCACCTTTAATCTGGCAGCCTCTAAACAAGCAGTGTGACTAAGGATGTATACAGATTTAAAATGTTTTTGTTTGGTAGATATTCTGGCTTCTATCCTCTTAAAGGTTGTCTCAATAAAAAAAAACTTTAAACTTTGAAATAAATAATTGAAACTAATATTGTGCAAACTTAAATATATTTTTAATGTTCCTACAGCAGGGGGAATGAAGGCATCATCGCACATCTGAAGATGCACTTTATATCTTCTGGCAACACGAAGGATACAGAGAAAATTGAGGACATCCTTAGACAGGGATTGTCTTTATCACTGAGTGAACACCCTATACCAGTATACATTTATGGCAATATCACGTCTGCTATGCTTGCAGGTATTGTAATGTAAAAAGTAAAAGAACATTAACTACTTTTTAGAAAATTAAAGTGACATTAAAGGCTATTTTTTTTCCCCACCCAATGTTAGTGTCAGGACTTACCTTAAATCATGCTTCTTTATTCGATCATCTTCTTCCTTACTGTCCTTTTCAGCAGTCCCTCCAGTGCTGGTGCGGCTCTCCGATCCAGTGCTGACTCCTCTGTCCCCCTCTTCGCTCATGTCCCACGCAGTCTGTGCAGGTGCACGCTGCTCCATAGATTTACCTTGTGTCTCTCCTCGTCTTTCGGCCGAACATCTGAACTGCGCATGCACCCGCCCCAAGATCCTTTGTGGCCGCCCGAGACTCTTCAGATGTTCGGACGGAAGCGCGCGGCGAAAGACACAGGTAAGTTTAAACCTGTTTCAAAAGGTTTAAAAAAAAAAAAAAGTTTTTGCATATATCTACTGCTTGCGTATGTATATCAAAACCTTTTTTTTAAAGTTTTGGATGAAATAGGGAAATGTTAGGACACTCCCACACCACCCGGGCAGGTTTCTATCGTTGCGTGTGTGTCTCCCATGTATAGACCATAATAGAAGTCACCAGCACTCTATGATGTGTACGAAGAAGTAAAGCACTTTTTATTAAATTGTCACATGCGTCATACAGCCAACGTCAGACAAGGTCACTATGTCGCCCAGAAGAAGGGACCCTGCATGGCCCCGAAACGTTGGTTGTATGACGCATGTGACAATTTAATAAAAAGTGCTTTACTTCTTGCACATATCATTGCATTGCACAGTGCTGGTGACTTCTAATATGGACTGTATTTGACACGGCGCCATCCGTGCTGTCACTTCAAGCACCAACCTTTCATCCAAGGTCTGCATGCTGTATGGAGTGCAGTTCATTTCGTATTATCGATCCCATGTATAGACTTACACCCTATATTTGTCCTGTTGACCATTATCACAGAGACAGAAAGTGATGGGAAATCTAGAATGTCAGAGCTGTCACCAAAACAAGAGGTGAAGGTAAATCTTCCAATGGGGGATAATTGGAATTCCCCTGACTTTGTAGAGATTTCCTTTCAGTTCCCATCGCTTTATCGTGGCAGAAAGTAAAGTAAATCTCCCCAACTGGACACAAACAGCAAATGATAAATTGTTTGTTTAACCCTTCTGTACTTTATCCAAAGCAAAAAAAAAAAAAAGGTTGTGGTAATACATACACTTTAAGTAAATGGAAGTACTTAAGACAAAAATACCCTAAAAGAGCTTTATACATATACCAAGGTAAAGTTTTATTCATGCAATAAAGCTTTTATTTTCTTTATATCACTACACTTATTTAGTGCCACAATGCATATAATTGGAAGCAGTAGGAAATATCACACATGAAAATCATAGCGGCTAATCAAAAGTCAGCTTTCATTAGTCTCCGTTACTAGCCTATTTCTGTGAGTTAGTGCACAACACTTTGTGCTAGTATATTTACAGTAACATGTATAAGAGAAATATGTAGACTGTATTGCTAACCCAATCTGGGCAATACTAGTTGCTGCTTCGATATCTTTTAAATTGCCCACCTGCAACGATAGGTGAAACCAGGGCCGCCATTAGAAATGATGGGGCCCCATACAGCATACATGGCTAGGCCCCCCTTAGTCACCTAAAGGAGAGGAATGAGGCGGCACATGTGGCAAATTGTGGGTGCGGCAAACCTGCGTGGAAAAATTTAAAACTTGAGCCTTCGTATAGGGATCAGAAGTATGTAATATATATAGTTCAGGGGTGAGGAGTAACTCAGAGTACAGAGGTCAGGAGGAAATAAAGCAGAGTGCAGAGGTCAGGAGCAAATAAAGCAGTGTGCAGAGGTCAGGAGCAAATAAGGCAGCATGCAGAGTTCAGGAGAAAATAAGGTCGAGTGCAGAGGTCAGGAGAAAATAAGGCAGAGTGTAGAGGTCAAGATCAAATAAGGCAGCGTGCAGAGATCAGGAGCAAACAAGACAGAGTGCAAAGGTCAGGAGCAAATAAGGCAGCGTGCAAAGGTCAGGAGCAAATAAGGCAGCGTGCAGAGGTCAGGAGCAAATAAGGTAAAGTGCAGAGGTCAGGAGCTAATAAGGCAGTGTGCAGAGGTCAGGAGCAAATAAAGCAGTGTGCAGAGGTCAGGAGCAAATAAGGCAGCATGCAGAGGTCAGGAGTAACTAGGGCAGAGTGCAGAAGTCAGGAGCAAATAAGGCAGCTTGCAGAGTTCAGGAGCAAATAAGGTAAAGTGCAGAGGTCAGGAGCTAATAAGGCAGTGTGCAGAGGTCAGGAACAAATAAAGCAGTGTGCAGAGGTCAGGAGCAAAGAAGGCAGCATGCAGAGGTCAGGAGTAACGAGGGAAGAGTGCAGAAGTCAGGAGCAAATAAGGCAGAGTGCAGAGGTCAGGAGCAAATACGACAGCATGCAGAGTTTCGGAGCAAATAAAGCAGCGTGCAGAGGTCTGGAGCAAATAACGCAAAGTGCAGAAGTCAGGAGCAATAATTGCAGAGTATGCACACACACATCTGCATTATAGGCATCAGAAAACTGCCAGCCAGCACACTTATACAACCTGCTGTCCCCCTGTCCCCCAGGCACTGCCCCCCCCTCAAGACTGATAGACTGATAGACACTGATTAACACAATGTGGTTGATTTACTAAAAAGACTGTTCACTGAGCAAAAGAAATGTTCATCTTGGAAAATATATGTTCAATTTGCACAGAGAATGTTCACTTATAATGTCTTATTGAATAAGCTGAAGCTATGTTCACTTCAATCATCCAATTATGTGCAAGCAAATACCCCATTTTTAAAATTCCCTTGCACAAGACTGGTTATTAAACGTGAAAATAGCTTCACCGTATTCACTAAGCTAAGGCAACATTTTCTGCTCCTTTAGTAAATCAACCCCAGTGTCTGTCAACTGGCTGCAGTAAATAGAGATTTTTCCAGGAGTTCAGGGGTTGATATAAATGCATTTGGACTATGACCTTGTGCCTTTATATGGTGACTGAACTCTTTTGTGAATTCTAATATATTTTTTTACAAGAGTTATAATTAGGGATGCACCGAAATGGAATTTTGAGACCGAAACCGAAATTTAAAAATTTGTCAGACCGAAACCAAAAATTACATTTTTTTTCCAATCTTTTAAAAAATGTTTAATGATTTTTACATTATTTTAGTTTTAGTTTTTTAACTTTACTGCTGGGGGCTCTAGGGAAATATCAGGAGTCTAAAAAGACCTCTGATATTTCCTTTTTACAATAGAAAAAGAGATTGAGGACACACAATCGCTTATTCTGCAGCCCTTGAAGCCTCTATCCTGAGTGTTCCTGTACCTTCATACTATGTGGATATAGTGTGCTTACTATGTCCACAATCATGAATGGACAGAGAGTGATGTAGATTACTTCCTATTCATTCATAACTGGGATATAGTAAGCACACTATATCAAGTTATTTACAAACACTCACCGATCAGCTGATCGGTGAGTGTTTGCATACCGCTCTCCATTCTGAATTGGCTGTCACAGGAGGCCGAGCGTGTGGTGGGGGAGGAGAGCTCCTGCTCCTGTGACAGATCACAGTGCTCTCCTCCACTCACCGCTCTCTATCCTGAAACAAGGAGGACGAGCCGGGAGGTACAGAAGGAGAACGCTGCCTCCTGCAATGATACAGCTGTCACAACCCCGCTCCGCTCGGCATCCTGAAAGCTTCTCTCCTCCCCGCTGGGCCCGGCCATGGCATCAGAAGGCATACAGCCCAGCGATGAGAGAAGTCAGGGAAACACTGAATTTTCAGCTGCATTTTTGTCTCTCATGGCACTTTCGGCAATTCGCCAAAAGTGGCATTTTTGGTCGAAATGTTTCAGCAGCAGAAATTTCAGTTCATCCCTAGTTATAATATTTTCTAGATAAACATTTAAGAGGACATGGATTTTGCCATACCCATATCTAAGACTCTGCTTCAGACCTGATAGTCTGTCCTGGTGTAGATAAACTGCAGTTCACAAATACTCAGAGCCTCAAAGTAGCATGTAACAGCTCTCCTCATGTTTACTTCCATAGCCATCCTTCAGGTCCAGGATACAGAGATTCTAGCACCACAGGCCGAAAAAAAAAGAGGAAAAGAGGGTCTTTAATGCATAAAAAAGGCCAAATAAAATAAACAAAGCTTTATTCAGTTTTGGTCCAGGATGTCCACTTTGTCCAGCATTGTGGTGGCCCCTGTTCAGCTAGTGGCCCCTCTGTGGCACTGAGGGAGGCTGGCGGTTGCTTGCTCTTAAAGTAACCCAGGCTCCCACAGAGCAGAGTGGGCACCAGGCTAGGCAGGCAAAGTGTGGCGGGCTGGGACAGACATGTGCCCAGCTGATGCACTGCAGGAGGGGGAGGCGGCAGCAGCATGTGTGGGCTGGCAGTGCAGTTGCTGACAGCGCTGGCTCGGTTCGCGGAGCTGTTCGTTCTGCTTCTCCAGCTTCCTGCCCAGTTCCTGCAGCTTCTTCACCTCCAGCTTGGCATTTACCACCAGCTTGTTTCCGTTTTTCACCTCTGCAATGCTGCTCCCTTTACAGCCAGGTTCAGTCAGGGATGCAGAGGTCAGAAGGCCCCCTCCTGGCTGCTGGCCCTCAGGCAGTGCCCGAATGCCTGAACAATCAGTCCACCCCTGGTAGGGGCCCTGAGAGCCCACATAGCCCACCTCAGAGCCCTCAAAGCCGACCTAAGCGCCCGCATAGCCCACCTGGAGCCCACACATCCACCTGAGAGCCCCCCTAGCCTACCTGAGAGTGTGCATAGCCCACCTGAGAGTCCGCATAGCCCACCTGAGAGGCCACATAGCCCACCTGAGACCCCACACAGCCACCTGAGAGTCCGCACAGCCCACCTGAGAGTCCGCACAGCCCATCTGAGAGTCCGAAAAGCCCACCTGAGAGTCCGCACATCCCACCTGAGAGCCCGCACAGCCCACCTGAGAGCCCGTGGAGTCCCCCTGAGTGCCCGTGGAGTCCCCCTGAGAGCCCGTGGAGTCCACCTGAGAGCCCGCACAGCCCTGGTGAGAGCCCACACAGGTCACCTGAGACCCTGGAGACATCAGGGCGCCACCCCGGAACAGCACAGAGTATGTAGTGTCATATTATTTTGTATTGCTGTATAATGTTTTGCTGGTATTTGTAGTCCTCTATAGCCAGTCTCCTTACTCCCTCCCCTGACTGCCTCTTTTCTATATATTCTCCCCAAAAAATAGCCGCGCGCGGCGCTAGAGTGTTCGGGTTTCAGTTGACGGAAAGGTGGCAACCCTAGTTTAAGGGGCCCATTCACAACTTTGTGGCAGTGGTGCATGTGCACAGATGCTAATGCTTTAAGTGGTGCTAGTTTATATCTGTGCAATACATTGACATGCGCTGTCTGTTTTTGGATGCATCAATGCACTTTATAGGGCCTATTAATGACAATGGCAGTACGCAAAATCACATGACTGTTCATAACGCATGAAAATGCACACAGAAAGGTGTAAATTAATCTTCAGGGTCCATTCAGATTCACATTTTCACGGATTCACATTTTAGGGATCCATTCACACTCACCCCGTCGGCTGCGGCACATTAATGTTTCCCGACAGCTCCATGGCAGCACATTGTGTGCTGCCATGGAGCTGTCAGGAAAGGAAAATTGCGGTAAGTATGGTAACACAATTTTCCTGTTTTCCCGACAGCTCCATGAGAGCACACAATGTGCTGCCATGGAGCTGTCAGGAAAGGAAAATTGTGGTAAGTATGGTAATAAGAATGGGCTGTCTAATGCACCTCAACAGACCAAAAATCTTGTGTACAGCCTTTTTGGCAGCACAGCGTACCATAATGCATATTAGTATACATTTATACAAAAAGCCTTTTTTAAACCTAGTATGACAAGATGCTGTAGAAGTGAATTATGTTGAATACTTTCTTTGTGTTGTACTTACCATGTTTTACAGAACTGTTGTAATAACAGGGTTAATACGTAAAGAACAAGAGTAGGGGGGACAGGAATAGCAAAGACATTGAACATTTGCCAACACTGCACTGTAATCTGAGCAATGGCTGTGGAGGGCATGTTCTTTATTCTCATGCCAAGAACGATTGTGAGAGATGATTAAGGAGCAGCCTGCATGTGGAATTTTAATAGAGAACAATAACTCTCTTTCTAAGAACAGTAGAAGTCCATGTTTATAATGTCTAGAGGTCTGAACATTGACATAAGTATATCTTGCCTTAATGAAACACTGCCCTAGAGAACTATTCAAAGGCAGTTTCATCATATTCATGACCTTGGAAGTGTAGACTATTGCTTTCTGTGAAGGACTACAACTCAAACTCAAGACAAAAGGCTTTACCTTCAGGAATAGGAAGTTTCAGTGAGCATTCTGCAAATGGTGCAAAATGGAAAGACACATGATTGGACTTTTTTGGGCTGAGTCCTCTACTGTCTATCCCCTTTTGATACGTGATTTTTACTACACACGTTAATGGTACATGTTGACATTCATTATGAATAGGCTGCCAATGCATCAAAATGGAGGAAAAAATGTACATCACTCTTTTTTAGCAACAGTGTGCATATGTTGTGGTGCACTGCAGTGCATTGGGCTCTATTGTACAATGTGTTGGGGTGCCATTTGAAGTGAATGGCACTGTAATACACTGCACATAAAGCAAATGTGTTGTCACGCATTGTGGTGGCACGTTATCACAATTACGCATGTTACCACAATGCCCAAGTGTGAATTGGCCCTGCATTTGTATATCAGCAGGCAATGTTTCCTAAGAAATTTGAATTTAAAGGGACTTTGACTAAACATTGTATTAGCATAATTTAGTATAATTAAACATTTTCATTATCAGGAATTTAAAATCCATGTGATCTGGTCAGGTGAAGCAGCAATGGGGTTGTCACCAACTCTCCTTAAAGGAGAACTATGGAGTCAGTGAAATACACTCATCCCCATAGTTAGATCCGACGTGTTACATTGAAACTGACACACATTGGCTTTATTGATCGGGAAGTGGGCGAAAACATACCGCCGTTCGCTCACTTACCGATCATCCCCCTGCAGAGAGCGGCGGCTGTCAGTCACCGCTTCCCCCCTCCCCTCTCCGATCCTCCAGTGCTAACTGGAGGGATGGACGGGGAGGGGGTGGGCAGAGCCAGCGGTCAATCAGCCAGCTGGGTGGATCTCGACAGTATTTTTGGGATCCGTCCCAGCTGCGGCGCTCTCAGCATATAGAGACAATAGCCCGCTATATACTGAGTTTTGGGTCACAGGAGGACACAGTATATGTCCTCCCATGACCCAAAAGAGAACTATGGGGAAAAAACGTTTCCCCACAGACAGTTCCTTTAATGCTCAGAAACTAGCTGAAGTACTACTTGCATGTGTGCCTGTCAGGTATATTTAAAGTGTAAAGCCAGAACTTTGTTTTCACTTTGGATAAAGTAGGGAAGAGTTAGACTACTGGCAGGTTTTTATTGCAATCTGTGTACCCTCTGGGGAAACTCGCCCTCTTTATTTGATCATTGAGTGAAAGTAATGGGGAATCAAAAATCAGCAAGGGAGAGGAAATCTCCCTGTTGGGAAACTTGTTCAGGCAAAAACTGTGTAAGGGTGTATTGTTCTCACTTTGGTATGTTTTTCTCTCACATTCTTTTGTCTCTAATGGACAGGAAGTGAAGAGAAACTCCCCAATGGGGCACAAATGGCAAATAAACTGAACAGGGATTTCAACCATTTCCTGCTCCTTTCGAAATGGGAAAAAAAAGTTTGGCTTTAGATATCTATTAATAATGTGAAAAAATTGCTAACGTTGTTTAAGGCTAACCAAGCCTCACCAAGCTACTTAATTGACCCCTTTGGTAGACTGCTGCCATGAGGACTGTTATTAAAGTGCAACTGAAGCCAAAACCTTTTATTCAAACTTTTAAATTGGATAGAGTAGGAAAGAGATTAGAACACCCGTTCTGTTTTTTTTAAATTGCTGTCTGTGTTCCGGTTACATTGCAATGGGCACACTAGTTCTGGTGACCCTGCTGACCTCCAGGGATTTTCCTCACTTTGGAGGGATTTCTTCTCATTTCCTATTGTGGCTATAGGACAGAAAGTGAAGGGAAATCACAGAGGGCAAAAAGAAATGATGGGGGTTATAACCCTCCCTTACTCTATCTAAAATTAAAAAAAAAACGTTTTGGCTTTAGTTCCACTATTACTGTTATCATATTCTAAGCTCCTGGAAACTCACTGGAAGCTTTATTGTAGCCTACAAAGAAGGATGGCACAGTACATCATGTTGTCTGCTAAAGTCAATTATCATCTGGACACTTTTCCAACAATATCTGAGAATCGCTGAACTGACCTTGTTTTTTATGTCACTTTAATTATGCAGATAATAAAGGATTGTCATTCTACTCTATAGGACTGAAGTCAGGTAAGCTGCTAAACTATTATGTCATATTCATCTTTCCTGGGTGACAATTGTATAACTTTTCTTTCCAAATTTAAAGTTTAAAGCTAATTGTTTACTACAAATTAACAAATCTACCTTAGGTTGCTGGGTGATCTGGTCACCACACCCCTAGTTCAATCAATACAATCTATATATGACAAAATTGGGGGTCCTTGAGACATTGTTTTAAAAAAAATTAAATTGTGTATCCTATTTCATTGCTTAAAAAAACACTTTTAAAATAATAAGTCACATAACTCCTTATCTCTTCTATATACCCCCTTGGGCCACTAATTGACCATCATCTTATATCATATTGTTTAACCAATATACTGCTGCTACCACCGTCTATAGAATTTTGGTTTTCCTCGGTCAATACTTCATTGTGTCTCAATTCAATTCATTCCATGCTTTAAATTGCAGCCAATACTTTTTATTATTAGTTTTAAATAGAGTATGGAATGGTTAGAACCCCTGTCAGATTTTATTGCTGTCTTCTTTCCTCACTAGAGGCATTTCCCTTCACTTTTAGACTTATAGGAAGTGAAAGAAAACCTCTCCAAAGAGAACGGAGATCTGTTTTTAAAGACTTGAAACCAGAACAGGTGTCCACATTATAAAACTTCTACTCCCCTCCTGTTTGGTTGACAACTGTAAAGGCTTGGATTTTCCATCACTTTATGTTTCAGAGAGACAGTGGTTACCAGGTCAAACAGAGAGAGTGGATCTCCCCAGAGGAGACACAGACAGCAATAAAAGCCAGAAAGAGCTTCTAACCACCCACTCTTTCTAATGCTAAACGATTTGCTTTAGATTTGAAATCAGATTTGTTTTTAGGTCTTTGATGTTTTACCAATCTCAAAAGAATACAAATACACAAATACCACTCATGTTTACCTAAAATAGTGAGAGTATTATGACAATATGTGTGTTGTTAACATGACCACGATGGGTAAATGAACCACAGAAAAAGAAAAAATATCAGGAATATCAGGTAGAGAGTACGTAAACAAATCTGAGTTCCTGAAATATTAACTTATCTAAATGTCCATTTTACTTACCAAGTGTAATCAAAGGGACATGATGCTTGTGCTGACTTTTACCTTATATAGTCACATAGGCTGGAGCTGATTGGGTGGCATTGGGTGGAAAGAGCTTCCTTCCATGTTTATGAGGAGCTGCTTCTGTGTTTGGAGGTGCTCAGGTATGTAACTGGATTCCATCGAAGCCTGTGCTCCTCCCTAGTCATCACAAGGGGACAGTAGGGACCTGTTTAGTGAGGCACCATTTGTAGCACTGGATAAGCTGTCCCACACAACTGGAAATAGTACCGTTGAGGGACCTGTAAGGAGGACCTATGTGAGTATACTTTGCTTTACAAGGTAAGCAAAAAGCAAAAAATGGGGCTTTAACCTTCCTGGCGGTAATCCCGAGTGTGGTTCGGGATTAATTTTCTGTACCAAAAGTGGTAACCCTGAACCACACTCGGGCATCTTCCGTGTTCCTTCCCTGCGAGAGCCGGCATTGCAGGGGGGCGGAACAGGCGAGTAATTCAAAAGTAAAAAATAGAAAAAAAACTTGGATTATCATACCACCAGGGAGTTAATGTACCAAAACAAAGCATAGATCTGCGGAAATGGCAGCACAGTATTTCTCTTGTGGCAGGTTTCCCTTTTTTCCTATTCAGTAGAAAGGCTTTACTTGAGAATTTGACATGGACGAAAAGGAGTTTGGGGAAATAATTTTGATAGAACAGGATGGGGTTTAAAACTGTATTGAATTTTTAACTAAACATGTGTGGTATATTGATAGACAGCATCATTTTAATTCCCCTCTGGTTCACACTTTGGCCTTTTCTGAAATACTGGTAGCCAGTCAGAGATGGGTCATAAAATGCAAAGTAGTTGGTAAAAAAAAGTTTACTGATTCAAAATTATATGCTATTTACGGAGGAGCTCCAGTCACAACTCTTTTTCTATTTTTAAATAGAGTGCGAAAAAGAATAGAGCCTCTGTTATGTATTTACAGCCGGCTTTGACGCTCTCTGATACAGTTAGTCTCATGTTCTATCCTGACTTTTGTAAGTATGACACATAGTGAGGGAAAACTAAAAAATATAGATTTGTCTCTGGAACAGGAGTACAGGGGACATATCACAATATGGACAACTGTTCAGGTGACACTAATCAGACCTGACATTACCTTCTGGTGTGGACATTGGGACAAGAAGTGAGGGGAAATCTCCTAAATGAGAACATAGACAACAATAAAAGCTTCATAGATGTTTCTTTCTCTGTCACTGTGCTGTAATTCCCTTTCATTTATTAACTATACTTGTCATTTTTTTTAAGTATCATATTCACTTCGCTGCAATAAACCTTTGATTTCAACAGGAAGTTGCCCACCTCAAGTGTATTCCTGCAAGAATAGCCAGTGTATTGTCAAGCAAAATCCAGACTGTGACAGTGTGCGCGACTGCAAAGATGGATCAGATGAGAAAAACTGCAGTGAGTCTCTCTTAACAATAACCCAGCTCATTTTAGACGTAACGTTGGCCCATATGTGTGATTATAATGATTCCTTAGGTTCCTAGAGCTACATGTAGTTTTGTATGGGGTTTAGATACTATGAAAATGGAGATATTATAAAAAATACTGCAATCAGAAATGGTTTAATAGCAGTTTACATTCACCTGTTTTTTTTTTTTTTATATTTTAATTCTGCGCTACAGAAATACCTTTGCTCCAGGCTAGAATACCCATTCTCTACAAGTTTTTAGACATGCAGACAGATAAAGCAGAGGGCAGTTCGGTATGATCAATACATTGCTATACTGAATTATATTGTCTACCTCAGAATAGTACCTCAGCAGCACAAGCAGGCAGGGCCTTGCTGTGGATGGGGGGCGGCACTGCTTCGAGAACGATAAAACAAAATGCAGAATTAGCTTCTTGTAAACAGGCAGAACAGTCATCATCCATCAAGCATTAGACAGGATGAATGCTATAATCATCATCACCCACTTTACCAGCAGGTAAGTTATCATCATCAACTATTTAGACAGATTTATCATCAATTTCCCTTACAGTATTTTCAGTAGTCCTTCTGCTCTAGTTTGTGAAGTTCTGTTGAATTTGGCTCATGTTGTTTATGCCATATGATGATTTTATATTTCAATTCTTTCTGTTTTCTTTATTGTTAAGATTGTGGATCACGTCCTGCAATGCAGAAATCAAACAGAATAGTTGGTGGGTCAGATGCTGCAAAGGGAGAATTCCCATGGCAGGTCAGTTTAAGGGAGAACAATGAACACTTCTGTGGAGCGACAATCATAAGTGGCAAGTGGCTGGTATCTGCTGCTCACTGCTTTAATGAGTAAGTACAGCTCTGTTTCCAAATCTTCCACAATGCGAAGGGTCTCTTTAAAGATAATGATAAATAGTAAAAATATATTATATATTAGAGTGCCTGCTTAAAAAAACTGAAGGGATATTTGTACTCCTAAAGAATTAAATACCATAGTCCCCGAATATTAGCCTAAAATAGTATTTTATTTGTAGTTATTATGCTCTCTGAAATTATATTTCAGAGCTTTACCTAAACTCTATGATAATGTTTGTATTATTTAAAAACTAGGCTCATGGTAGAGTTCTACAAAAAACAGTCCTTACATCAGTTATGCATTCATTAAATGCCACTACATCTATTTTAAGTGACATATACCGTATTATCATGGCTTGAAATATATTATCTTTGCACAAACTAATTTTTCAAGCTTTGTGGTGCTTTCTTATTTTTAAGTCCAAGTCCAGCACAAACGTATAACTTTGGATACATTGGGGAAGGGTTCATATTTGATTTTACATTTTACACTTTTAACTGCTTATTTTTGTTATTGAATTAAATGAACAGATTTGTAAATTACTACTAGAGGCACAGTGGATAGGCTACTACAATGACTTTGCCTAAATACCTAAAGTTGAGCTAAAGTCTGTTTTAGGTAGGTTATACAGCAGAAAAGATTATAGACTGAAGGAAATCAGGAGTCTGCCCCTATTACCACTATCTCCAAACCCAAACATTATCACTTGCTTTCCAAAAAAAACACATAGGGGTCCATTCACGAAGCTGCCGAAGGATCTGGCCGTAGCTTCGGCTGATCCTTCGGCTAGCTTCGGCCCCAGGACCCCTTCGGTTCAGTAGAACCGAAGGGGTGCTGTACGGGCTATTCACAATAGCCCGTACAGCTCCCGATCGTGGCCGAGC